AGCATTCTTGTTATGTGTTGTTGTGTTCTGAAACTTCCCACGTGCATGATTCAATAGATTGGGGCAAAAAAGCCCTCTTCAAGCCAAACTGCGGTGCTATGCCTAAATTTTCTTCAACTTTTAGAATGTTATAGGTGAATATCTCGCTTCCTCTTCAAACTAGACAGAACGGCACTATGTATTTATACTTTGTCTTCTTGCCAAACGAAACTCCGGAAAATAAGGACCATAAGGTACTTTTGCGTGTACTGCTAGCTCTTTCTATCAGAATTGGACGTTCGGCGTTTTCCAGATGACACCGTGGTATAGTTTGCAAGGACTCCTTGCCAGTGCATATCGTGAACCTGATCGTAGTTTCAACTTGATTAGCGGGCAGCTTGAAGAGGTTAGTTTCTTTTGTACTTCTCAGTTTTTTCAACTAGCTGCAACTGATTCAGGATTCGAAGAATTTCATAGTGCTCATATATTGAGCCACTCCGAGGAGAATGTTATGGGATGACCATCAGTCAGGGCACGTTGTGCATGGGAATCCCCAGCGAGGGAGCCGTATTTGGTCGCTAGGGTGGTTGTTGTATAATTTTCCGCTCGAGGGTGGGTTTTTTGGAGGAAAACCAGAAAATTTGCCTTGGCAGATGGTGGGTAGGGCGGGGAAGGGGGGGGGGTCATACCGCAGGAATAAGTTTTTGGGGGTCGTGTTTTGCAAAATTTTCCCCTTGAGCACCACGTGCCCTGCCAACAATGGAGATTTTTCGCTATCATTTTTTTGTGGACAGGCAGAAAGATGAGGAATTCTGAAAAATTGTTGTTCTTATTCAGTTTAATAATTCAACTGAGAAACTCCCACCGATCACTCATGTTCGATCTGTTGTGAATATAATGAGTTTGGAAGACTCTCCTGAACTATCTCTTCCCGAACTGCCAGAGATTACGTGAGTAATTTTTTCCAAAATTGTTGGACTTTAGACATTTATTCTGAGCGTATGTCGCCATTCTTACCCTCTCTGTTTTAGGTTTGAACGGAAATGATGATGGTTACTTCCCAATGCTCTACGTAGCCGAGCTACTCAATCGGGAAAAGGATCTAGTCGAGGTTAGCATCACGTGAAAATGTTGCCTAGGAGTGCTTCTTTGAATACGCCTTACCTGAACTTCCCTAATCAACTTCTAACATTTTTAAAACTTTTGAAATGCATCCTTGGTCATTGTAGGGG